ATAGATAGATAGATAGATAGATAGATAGATAGATAGATAGATAGATAGATAGACAGACAGACAGACAGACAGACAGACAGACAGACAGACAGGTGGATGACTGACAGAGACATTTGATATTGACCTCTACCTGCCATATACATACTCCCTAACATGCTTGGGCACATAGCCACATGAACACATACTTATGTTGCCCCCTGACATACATACAAAGTAAAAATAATAGTTCTTCCATGACACATGAGTTTGAATCTTTTCACAACTGCAGTGCTGCCCTCTTCATGTTTCCTTCAGTGGTCTCTTTAGATAGAGTTGGAACCAAGAGACACAGCACAATTAGTGCACTCTGTTGTTCCTTTTACATTTGATTCTTTATGTATTTAATTGTTGTGGGGGAGGAAAAACAGCACACATGTGGAAGCTAGAGAATATCTTTTAGGAGTTATTCTTCTCCACCATATCCAGGGATCAACCTCAAGTCAGCTGCAACTGCCTTTATCTGCTAAACCATGTCACTGGTTCTAATGGCCTTTTATTTTTTTTTCTTTTTTCTTTTTTCTTTTTTATTTTTTTTGAGACAGAGTCTCACTGTGTAGCCCTGGTTCCTGGGTGTCCTAGAATTTAGCATGTAGACTAGGATAATCTCAAACTCACAGAGATAATCTACCTGCCTCTGCCTCCCAAACCCAGAGATTAAAGGTGTGGACCACCACACCCAGCTTCTAAAGTCTTGTTTTAAAAGAAAAGAAAAAAGCACAAACCTCAGGAGTGGAGTTAGAATAAGGTGAAGGTCGAAGAAAGTGTAAAGCAAGATGACAGCTAGAAAGTGAAATGGAACCTGAGCACTAGTTAGCATATATATGTAGATCCTGGCAGTGAGTCATATTTTATTCCATTTCTTCTCTTCAGCAGCCCAACCTAAAATCTAAAAACTATTTTAGAAATTGTATTCTCAGTTGAAATTGAATATTCAAAATGAATAGGTTTCTTATGATATGTGAAGTTTAACATCATATGTCTTCAACAGTTAAATGGGATGGAAATAAATTTTTTGAACCAATAGAACACTGAAAACTTTTGTAGTTCACTAAGTTTCACATTGACTGGTGTTTTTCTTCCCCCAGCTTGCTCTTGAGAAATACGAGGAAATGTTTCCAGCATTTACTGACTCCAGAGAATGTAAATTATTGAAAGTAAGTACTGAAACAACTTTGAAGACAAAAACATCTTCTATTGGGTGATGGCACCTTTATGGCACTGGTGATGGGTGGAATTTTAATTACTAAGTCTTTCAAGGGTGTTTGGTTACTGGATTAATTGCTGTAATAAATAATCCAATCTTAGGTAATTTCATAGAGGGAGTATGTTTTGGCTGCAGTTTGACTGGACAGCCCATCCTACCACCAGGGCCATGAGGCCTCTGGTCACACTATGTCTACCACGAGTAAGCAGAGGAAAATGAATGCTCGTCCCAACTTGCTCTTTCCTTTAATTCAATTCAGGACCCAAGAGATGGTGGGTCTATCCTTTAGTTCTTCCTTCTTCAGTTAAACCAATCACACCAAAGGAGTGATTGAATAATGATTCTAAACTTAGTCAACCTGACAGTGAAGACTGGCCATCATGTGGGTACCTTGCTTTTTCATTGTAGATATTCATACCCCAAGAGAGTTAGGGTGCTTAACACTGTCCTCAAGTAGGCAGCCTTGGAGTAGCAATACAGCGCTTGAGGCTATTCTTAGATAACTCTTATATTTGAATACACCCTGTTTGGTGAGATATTAGGAACATTAGTTCATGAGATACTAAGGTGATTTGTGTTTAAAATATTCCTTCAGAAATAGGATTTTCTAGTCTAAAGTATTTTCTTGATTTTGTTTTTTATACCACCAGAAACTTTTAGAAGCTCATGAAGAACAGAACAGTGAAGCTTACACTGAAGCTGTAAGTTATATCTTCAGGATATGTTAATTTTTAAAGTTTTATGGTATAAAAATTTCTTTTTCTTTGCATTCTATAAATTCTGAACACTTATTTGAATATGATTCAACTTGCTTGTATTTTCCAAAGATCATGTCTTGCATGTCCTGCATATTAGTTCCATTAAGTGTTGTAGACATCTCTGTGGTTTGAAACATTTGTTTCTTTTACAGAGGACTGTGGTCGGTTCTCAGCATCCCACAGCTCACAACCATCTAAAACTCTATATTCAGGGGATCAGTGCCCTTTTCTGACCTACAAGGGCACCAGGCATACATTGTACACATACATTCATACACATAATTCAGCCTTTTTTTTTTTTAAGTTAGTTCCCACCATGCAGTAATTCTAGGTTCTAGCTGTACTGAGCCCCTGATTCTCACTTTGTAGATCAGGCTGGCTTCTAACTCACTGAGATCCACCTGCCTCTGCCTCCCGAGTGCTGAGATTAACTTTGCCTTGATTCTTGGCTTCCCATGAGAAGTGACTTAGCTGTGATGCTTCTTCAGAAGCCTGTGATGGAATCGTAACAGGCAGTTTTGGCGGTTAAAAAAACAGCCTGATCCATAAACGTAAAGAAAGGCTTTAGTTAAAATTAAAGTATCAAAACTAGGCTATTGATACATTCATGATATAGGTTACTTTATTTATACTTAGCTTATTTCTGGTTTCTTTTATTAAATCTTTCAAAATTTTGTGTTCAGGGTTAAGCAGATTTCTGAAAAGCCTAGAATGAATTCAACTACAGTCCTAAAGTGACCATGAAAAAGAGTGTCTTAACTTTTATCTTCAACCTGCTTTCACAAATGTCATTGTCTGTCTTTGCATGTGCTGAAATCCATCACGGGAATTCTGCTTCCCATTTCATAACTATTTGATTGCATTTTTGTATGGTCAGTAAATAATAATTTTCTTATACCTTCCTAATTTTTTGTCATGCCCACTTGTCCTCTATCATGTAGAATTCACTTTTCCACTGAAATAGCTTTTTTGTAGTGTTGCCATACATGTGTTCACATACAGAGAAAAAAATAAATGTACAGGCTTATGGGATAAAGGAAAAGAAAAGCTGTTCTTAGTGAGGGAAGTTATAAATTAGAATAAGTAATTTCTAATCACAGTCAGTAGGCTATTACAGTAACATCTTCAAACAGCTTAGGTCACTGTCATCTTAGGTTTTCAATGTTTTTTGGGGTATAATCCCTGTTCTTTGTTTGTTAAATCAGGTGAAGGAGTTTGACTCAATATCACGCTTGGATCAGTGGCTGACTACCATGTTGCTTCGTATCAAGAAGTCCATCCAAGGGGATGGAGAAGGAGATGGAGACCTCAAGTGAAGCGCTGACATCTTTGTGGCATGCAGCTCATTCCTTTTTAGTTTTGTCTTCGGGCAAAGCTGTCTTTCTGGGATGCCCATTTAATGACTTAACTTTGTTGTAAATAAGCCACACGGTTTATGTACTGCTTTAGCTCGCTATGTCTGTGTTACTGTGTGAGAATGGGAGGCTTCCATTCAGTTGGTGGTTATGACAACCAAAGTATATCATGCTTATTATCCCAGTCTGCAGTTTTCTGAGAAGTACTGCCTAATCTTATTCCTATTCTTCCGATATTTTTAGGGCTCATGTTTTAATGTTGCCACGTGTTTTGTGTTTTCTTTTTTCTTGAACTCTAGTACTCAACCCAGTTTTATAGATGCTTTGCAGAGACCATGTGCATTGGTATCTGGATGGACCTTTTGTAGAAGTGGCTTAGTTTAGGGTGATTCTTAGGGATAAGTTTGTAATTCAGTAGAAACGGTTTGGCTTTCTTTTATAGTTATTTTGATGGTGCTAGTGATGAATTCATTTGCTTTTTATTTTGCTCCTTATGTTCACATGTGCATGGCAAACACTGAGAACAGCTGGTATCTGTTAGGATTGCTTGCATCATAAAGGGAGCTTGCTGGCAGCTCCTGTGACCCTGTTTCTTATGTGAATGGATGTCAAAGTGGGTTTCGTTGGCTTGGTTTTTTGTTTTTAACTTACACAGGTACATGTGTGCATGTACACACTCACACAAAACCTAGGAGAAATGAAATTTCCCCCTTCCCTAGTGAGAATTTCCACTTTTAGTTGTAATGGAAATCCTTTCATATTTGCATAGAAACAATGTAACTGGCATCTCCTTTATTCACACATTGATGTAGTCGACACTGTCTTCTGGGACACAGTCATGCCAAGTTTGAGCTGAACTAGACAAAAGATTCCATCTGAAGCTTGAGAATGTGTGTGGCTAAGTGTCCATTTGGGGGACATGGTGAATAAGTGACATCAGTATGACCAAGAGTTTATGTAGGCCTGGTTAGATAAGAACCTCACCTGTGTCCAGGGGTTCCTGGTTTATTTCTTAGCTGATGGAGTGATTTCACTTGTGTGTATGAACTCTCTTGGCCTATTTGGTTCACGTACGATGTATGTATGCTCTGTTACTTCAGATTTGACCCTCCCTGCTACTTTATATGCTGATACAGTGCTGTAGACATGGCCTTGCTTCCTGAGTCTCCTGTGAATATTTTTATGCTGAGATGATTTGTGCTTGATGCGCATGTGTTACTAGACATAGTCCTTATGTGCTGCTGTCCTGTTTCAGACAATGAAGCTCCCAGTTAACCAGGGAGAAAGTGGCACTGGAATGGTGTTTTCATCTTTGCATGGCCCTAGACTAGGGTGGGTGGTTCTTAACTGTGCCCTAGAGTGGCTGTGCCCAGGCCAAGGGTTGAATGAGAAGAGTTTGGGGACTGATGAGAAAGTCAGATATTTCAGAAGTGAAAGAAAGTAGCAGGAGGGGGCTAGAGAGATGGTTCCTCTGCCAGGGGGACCCAGTTTGATTCCCAGAACCCAAGTTGGGTGGCTCAAAACCGCCTATAATTCCAGTTCCCCCAGGAGTTCCAGAACCCTCTGCTGCCCTCCACAAGCACATGCACACAGATAAACACAGACAGAAAAATGGATATGGACGTATGTGCAAGTAAATACCCATAAGTGTAAAATAATCTTTTTATCATTGATTTTAAAAAGAAACAAAGTAGCAGGGGATGATGTTGAAATTGGTCCCATGAGGACAGGTATTAGGTATCTGTCAGGCCCCTGTCATGGTGGTAACAGGGAATGTACGTAGGCCTTTGAGAGGCCTTTGCATATCTGAAAAAGAGGGAATGTGCTCTAGAATCTGATGAGGATTCCCTTTTTCCTTCAATGCCTTTTGGGGTTTCTGAATGATAGCTGCTGTACCAAAGGTAAAATTTGCTGTGGAGCCTCGTTGATCTTTCCTGACTCCATTGGAATCTCTAATGTAAAGGTGAACAGAGAGAGAGAGAGAGAGTTATTAGGGCTGGAGAGATACCTTATCTGCTCTTCCAGAAGATTCGGAGTTGAAGTCCCAGCCCTCACGTGGGGGCTTCACAGTTACCTGTAACTCCAGTGCTAAGGGATCTGCCATCCTCTTTTTGCCTCCACTTGCACCTGGCATGCATGTGTTATACAGACATACATGCAGATAAAACACACATACACTTAAAATTTAAAACTGGTTTATAGAAAACTAAGTTACTGCTTTATTCACAACCAGCCACAGGCAGCTATGGAAGTGACCATGGAAATGGCTCTAAGTCAGTTCCAGTACATGAACATTTGAACACTGGCCAGCCTCTGTACTCTACCCTCACTAGTTCAGTCTTCTGGTGTGGCCATTTAAAATGAAACCCACATGGTATCTTGTAGGATAGTTTGCCTTACCTCATGAGTCCCTAGCACACCTATCTGAAGAAGTGCTGGGCATTTAGAGTAGTGTTTGTATTACTTTGGTGTTTCTTTCAATCAGTTATATGCTTTTACTGAAGTTAAGTGCTGGAGCAGGGATCAGGAACACTTGTGTATCTCAAAAAAAAAAAAAAAAAAAAGGAAAGGCTGAGATCTAAGATCAGTCAGTGCTTGGGTTATTTTTGTCCCAGCATTTGGGAGGCAGAGGAGTAGCAAAACCAAATAACAAATACCAAGAACAGATCTGGTAGAAGATAAGAGAATGAGGCAAATGTCCAGACAGAGGTTTGCAGGCTTACATCCTCCAGATTGTCCTGTGGACATGGGTAGGGCATTGTCTCAGTGTGCCTAGCTTCAGGCTTTCACAATGTCTAGAATATTAGGAACAAAACACAGCGATTGTTTGTTATAGTTATTATATTTGAGTGTGCCTGGGGATAGTTCATAGTTATGTCAGTTGAAATTTCTTACAGAAAAGCTTTTCTTTTGTGGCAACATTTTGATAGCTTGTGTGAATTCCTTTTTTATTTAACGACATAAAACAGTATTTTTGCACAGTTGTAACCATGTGTGGTGGTGTCACTATAACCAAAGTATATGCACCAGCCCTTGTGCATTTATTGTTCCCTCTGGTATCGTGCACTTAAAATGTCCAAATCCAAACCTTTGTGACTGTGGAGGATCTGGCAGCACAGCATGCCCGTGACCTGCCTGCTGCGGTGTGAACTGTGACCAGTAGCAGGCTCCTGTGAAATCCTGAGTTGCTCCCAGGCAAGGGAGTACATCGTAAAAACTAACCATGTAACAATAAATACCTTAGCTGAAAGAATGTTTGTTTTATGTGAACTTGTACAGTAAATAAAGTGGAGATTATCGGTAACATTTTGACTAGTCTTTGCTAGAGACAAAGTTGTTCCCATGAAGTTTACGGCATTGATATTTCTGCTGCTAGGTTCTTCATGACATGCTCACCTGACAGGCTGAGGTTTAGAAGTTTCAGTGGTGTGACATTTAACAAGTTCAAGTTGTGACTGGAGGCCAGGCTTGGTGATTCAGAGAACTGACTGGCTCCTCTTCTGGAGGACTGATGGAATTCCTGCCATCCACATGGTGACTCACAACTGTGTAACTCCTATTCCAGGGTATCTGATTTCTCCTTGGGCACCAGGCAAGCATGCAGCACAGAGACATACAAACTGCCAGACACATAAAATCTTTAGAAAGTTAAATTATAATCTGCACTGCTGTTTAGATAATTACCAACAGTGAAATGCAAAGGTTCTTACTCCTTCCTGGTCCACTTTTTAAACTACTACAGAAAACCTTGGTAAAACCAAAGGCTTTGGAGCCCTCTGGTGTTTGGACCATATTGTGACACAAAATGGTTGGAATGGCACCAGGTCATCTCTTCAGTAACCCTTATTGATGCTCTGAAAGTAGTGTGCTGTCAGAACACATTTGGGACAAATCCATTGAAGGTAGCCTTGCTTTCTCACAGCATAACTGCTTTCAGAGACACCACAAGGTGGTGGCAACTCGAGGGTTTATGTACTTAAGGGTCACCGTTATTTCTTGGGAAGAGACAAAAATGTATCCACTGATGCCTGCTCTAACTTCACATTGCAGAGAAGGGCAGAATGCCCATGCTTTTCCCTCCCCAGATCAACACTGGCCACTACTGGGCAGAGGCCATTCTCCTCTGTGTGCCACTGTGAATTTCAAGAACTCAAGTCACCTGTGGTGACTATATAAATAGAAGTTGATAGACTATAATTTTAAGTTTTAATGTTCATGATGTTAAACAAATGAGACTAATTTCAGTTAAGAATCTTTATCTATAAACCCTAAGTTATAATGTAAATAAACTTAGAATTGCAGAGCTTTTACAAAGCAGACATTTATTAACACATTAAACAGTTTTATTTAGAACTTCTAAAGAAACAAATTCAAGACAGTTCTTCCAGTAGGTAACAAAATAATCTATTGTTTAAATTCCTTCTCATCAAGATGACTTTATTCCATAACACAGTACATCAGCGGGCAAGTTTGTTCTTCCCATTAAAATGGTCATGTGCCAATCACGAGGCTTTTGCTTTGTTTGTTTTTGTCTGTAAACACAACTAGATTGCCAGGTCACAACCAAATGTAAATTATTCAGCCCTGAACCTTCAAGAGCAAGTGGGAAGTATTACCAGCACCTGGAACACCCTTTGGTGGCTTCACCAGCTACTTGAAAGTGTTACCACAAAGTGAGCGCTGGGGAAGAAGCCTTAGTTTCTATCAGAATGTGATCTCTCATCACCCTGAACTTAGGGTGCCTTCCTCTTGGAAACCAGAGTGTTTTCACAGCAAATTTACTAAGTTAAAAAGAGAAAGGGAAAGCAACTAGAAAGCATAAGAATTCTTCCTTTAAGGCATTCTTAATGTTTAAGGGTCACAGGTGGCACATGTACACATACCCAACGCCTTCAACATCAGAAATAGCAAATGCCAAAAAAATGCATTTTTCATCTGAAGTTTGCTGAGCAGTAATTAAATCCAGCATGAGAAAGCCAAAGGAACATTTGAGACATTCCTGGTTCTTTACGATCCACTTTTTAAGGCATAGAAGTTGAGCGTGCCAAGGCTTCCGGTCCCCTCTACATCAATGGTTCTCAACTTTCCTAATGCTGACATTCTTTGATACAGTTGTTCATGTTGTGGTGACCCCAACCATAAAGTTATTTTCGTTGCTACTTCATAACTAATTTTGCTACTGTTATGAATCGTAATTAAATACCTGTTTTCTGGTGGTCTTAGGCAACCCCTGTGAAAGTTCATTGAGAACAACTGCTCTAGATTCTTACATGCTCCTAACGAGGTCAACCTGTAGCAGATACTAGTCTGTGTCACCTTCCACTGTGGAAGTGAGTGCTTCGGGGACTTTGGACATTATAAAAAAGGCAGAAGTATTCGAGGTTTGCCAGACTCATTCATTGTGCTGTTGGTGAAAATGTGATCAAATGCTCTGACACCGCCACTTCATTGCTTATACTTCTGCAAAAGGGACAACTGGTTGCTAGATTCTTTGGTAGGACAGCTTTGACTTAATCTGATTTAGGGAATGAACTGAACAGCCACAACTCATTCCAGGTTGAATTTCATGACAGACGCCTTACCTGTACTCATGCTAAGATACTACACTGAAAATGTTCCATCTGCCATTTTCTTCTTTTCATGCCTCCAAAAAGGGGGCTGGGGAGCAACAAATGGAATCATCTGCTTCCTTCAATTCCATTCTAGGGTCCCCAGAACAAATCTTACTTGCTTTCAAAGAGCTGAAAATAAAATAAGTGGTCCCAAATGTACTTTAACTGTAGAAAAAATGCCCTAAAAGGACCAGAGTGAAGTAAACACACATGGAAGTATAAGGCAGGGTGAGACCAGGAGACACAAATAACACTTTCCCAAGTTAGGTCAATGCTGAGTACCTGTGATTAAGACAAGCAGTGGTTTAGACATCAAGAGGATCAAGCATTAGTGTGATTGACATGTATGGCCACACCAGGGTTAAACAAGCTATGCTAACTGCCATGTTTGCTGAGGAGATAGATGTAGCTGAGATCATGCAGATCAGAGTGTTAACAGGAAAGCTTTAAGTGTGATATAGACGTGCAAGGTCATGGATTTTGGGGAAATCTGCAAGGCTAGGCTAGCTTACATCTTTGCACAGACAAGTTTCTTTTCTGAGCCCCTGGCATCACCTGAAATACAATAGTCACACACTCTGCTTGACACACAACTTCAAGTTCTCACTCCATGTTGGCCAGCGAGGGAAGGTGTGCAGGCATTGCGCCTGTCTGTGGGGTCAGCTCACCAAGCTCACTGATGGTAGTGGTAAGCAGAGCATCCTGAGACACCACTGCTTTGCAAGCAGTGTCTGTAGAACTGTTCTCCTGCATGGCAGGCACATTACCTTGAACTTCCAGTAGGTTGTTAAAATGGCTATTTTCACCAAAAGATAGTAATCTATCTGAAAGTTTGGGTGATGCATATTCATCATCAGGTTGTTCTGTCTTATGCCCTTCATCATTCTTGAGTGAGCCATCTACAATGACAAGGAAAGACTTCCATGGCGTATTCTTATCGTGTATCTACAAATAAAACAAAACATGAGTCACTGCATGGGTCTCTTCTCAACTTAAAGATACTTATTAATAACACATGCATCTTTTAAAAGAACAGCTCTCTTTAGGACCAGGCACCACGGCACACACTAAAAAATTCCATAATCCTAGCACATAGGAGGCAGAGATGGGAGGATCGTAAGTCCAAGGTCAGCATGGACTACAATATTAAAGAAATTAAACAAAAGATCCCCCTGTCATTTGAGTCTTTCTGGTGAGCCACCCCTGTACTAATTACCAAATATCTGCCCTGTACAGCAGCCGCTGCTTGGGAGTGGTTAGCATAGGCCTGGCTGGGGAACCTCAGCCCTCCCCTCACTTGCTTTCAAACATCACTTACTGAGGTGTGCCTCCGGAGAGTGGACTTGTCCGTGAACGTCCGTCCACACGCATTGCACATGTATGGCTTCTCTCCCGTGTGGATGCGATGGTGGCGCTGGAGCGCATTTATTTGAGTAAATTGCTTCCCACACTGGTCACAACAATAAGGCCGCTCTCCTGAACAGAAGAAAGATGGAAACTACTCAATGACATCTTCAGTTGACTTTATTGAAGTCCGATACACATCTGCACACCCAGGGTAGTCTGAGCACTCCCAAAAGGTCAGGTTACATTGCAACGACTCAAGGGCTACCTGGTAGAGGCACCAATTTACTCTACTACCATACCCAAAAGCTTATGACTGTACCAAAAATAGGTCAATATTGTGTGTATAGCTGAATGACAAACAGCCTGTGTGTGTGCACATATGTACACTAATATAGCATTCTCTGTCCCTGTGTATATCTGACAGATAGGGATCCACACTCAGGCTGTCACACCACAGGAAGCTCTGTGCCCTTTCAGTAAGCCCCATGCTGCAAAGACTGTCCCCCGTTTGCATACTAAAATGCTCTCATTTTTCACTTTGTCAAAACCAGAAATTGGGCCTACGAAGTGGTTCAGTGAGTAAAGGTACCTGCCACCAAGCCTAGGGATCAGAATTCAACCTCACGGACCCACATGGTAAAAGGCAAGAACCAACTCCTACAAGTTGCCTTCTGACTTCCACACGCCAGAGCACTTAAGTCACCCATACACATACATGTAAAAATAAACTTAACTAATTAAAATATATGTAATTAGCCAGGCAGTAGTCCCGCATGCCTTTAGTCCCAGCACTTGGGAGGCAGAGGCAGGTAAATCTCTCAGTTCAAGGCCAGCCTGGTCTACAGAGTGAGTTCCAGGACCGCCAGGGCTACACAGAGAAACCCTGCCTCAAACAAACAAACAAACAAACAAAAACATAAGTGATTAAAAAAGAAATGTAACTTTATTAGTAATTAAATGTTTATTAATAAACAATTTCATAATAACATTAATAAATAAATAAATCACAATAACAAACTATAAACTCAAAAGTATAAAAAGTGAGTAGGAAGCCAGTAACCCTAGCACTTGAGGTGTGGAGAGGAGGATCAGAAATTGATAGTTATCTGGGCTACATAGCAAATTCAAGGACTTTGAAAATCTTATCTCAAAAGAGAAAACATAAAAATAGGGCCTATGAATTAATGTAGTGGTACAGCATTCAGACAGCACACACAAGGTTATATGTTCAATTAAAAGCCCTGGAGGGGATAAAAGGATTTTAAAATACTATCAAGTGTAACCACATTTTAACTTAAAAATTACTTTTAAAATGCCACTACAACAAAGTTTGACCATTTTTTTTTTCCTAAAGCTTTTGATTCAGAATAAATCTGAAATGTGCCTCACAAGGTCATATTTTGTTTGTTATTTGTTTTTTGTTTATTTTCAAGACAGAAAAGGTTTATCTGTGTAGCCTTGGCTGTCCTGAACTCACTTTGTAGACTAGGCTGGCCTCCAATTCACAGAGACCTCCCTGCCTCTGCCTCCCCAAGTACTGGAATTACAGGTGTGTGCCAGTGTGCCCAGCTCAAGGTCACATTCTTAAACTCAAGCTGCTCACTATTTTGAAGGTTGTGGGATCTTTATGGAACTGGCTACTTCCTGGTGGGCTAGAAGTAGCTTAGTAAAACAGACCCTTAAGATTATAGCAGCCCCTGGTTCCTCCTAGCTGTCTCTGGCTGACCTTAGTGTGAGGAACCTGCATAAACTCCTGCTGCCATGAACCTGGCTATGCTTTCCCCACGATGAGAGCATGAACCCTGTGAAATTCTGAGCCACTATCAACCCTCCCTGAGAAGTTATTATGGTCACAGTGACACCAAACATTCACCAAGTGATGTTCTAATAAAACTAAAACTGTGAATTATTGTCCTTGCCAGACTGAACTCTCCTCTGGCCCTATGTAGCCATACCTGTGTGGACTTTAGCATGCTGGTAAAGGGAATTCCGCTGGGCAAAGGTCCGAAAACACACTTCACATTTAAAGGGTTTAGATCCAGTGTGGATTCTATTATGATGTTTTAAGTACTCCTTAGAAGCAAAACTCTTGCCACATGTCTCACACATAAAAGGCCTTTCACCTACATGAAAAGATGAGACAAAAATACAAACAATAGAGGCATTAAAAACACAGGGAAAAGGAAGAGCTGGTCTTCTCTCTATAGCTTGGCAAGCAGCAGCCAATACTTTCTAAGTAAACATCAAACATGTTACTCTTGCTACAAGCGGTGAATATCCTAGAAAATCCAAACATTGGGCAAGAATAAATGATTATTGTTCAGGAGCTCAAATTTAAGACATTTAGTTACTGCAAATAAAAAAATTTTACAACTTTGGGGGTTTGTTGGATTATTTTCAAACAAGTGTTTCTGTAGCTCTTTGAGAAAAAGAAAAGTCTCTTTGTTAAAAGTAGAGGAAGTTCACAATGGGTTATTAAGTAACTTCTAGACTAGTGACACCAGTCAACTTGACTGGATTGCAGGGCAATTTCAGCTGCTCACTTTTTGTTGTTTTGGTTCTTCGTTGATTCTCCCAACTCACCCATACAAACATTAAAACACTGGCTTCCATAAAATTTTAATATATTAATAGTGGTATACAATGACCAACTCTAAATATGTGATATGACACCGCCTAACCTACAGCGTCCTCTGGAGTTCTATGTTCCAGTAATAGATGGTAACAACTCTTCTGTCTGGACTGTGCTTGAACCTTAGGCCTGTGTGAGTGCTCAGAGGTAAAATGTGTAGGCAAAGGAAGACCTGGGTGAGTAAGTACAGTCTACTATACGGGCTCCATAGCCTGCAGAGTTTACACCGAATTTTTCAGCCACAGGAGTACAACACTGCCCCAGAATAAAACCACTTAAACTTTCCCTCTCCTAGTAAACGATCACAAATATTTTTAGAGTGTAATCTCATATCTAAATGTCATTGTTTATCATGTATTTGCTCCTGGTTTCTCTCCAGGTTTTCAACAGTTGGCACTGCCCATGCTTAATTATTGACTTAAGCACAGATGTGCCCAGAGTCCTTCCTCTGAAGGGCCTTGTCATGAGCTGGGGCATGGATTTCCAGCCTACTGAAGCACCCCCCTATGGTTGGCCCATCATGTCACTCCCAGTTCTGTTATTAAACATAGCAAGAAGAGAGCTAATCACACAGCTTTTCTCAGATTTCAGATAATCTTTAGGATTATCTGAAACTCCCAAGAATGGACTTAGGGTTACAACAGAAGGAACTGTTTCATACCTCTACACATCTAGGACCTGTATGCCCCATTTTAGTGCCTAGTGGCACAGATCATGTACAGCAGCACTGCAGACAGCAGGTGTATCTGTAATTAGCTCTTCCTACATGGAAAAGCTGAAGCCTGGCTGTAGCCTGCACTGCTGTGGTGGATGACAACTTCTAATTAAGCAACTGCAGTTTTTTGTTTTTTTTTTTTTCCTATAGCTAAGAAAGACAGTCAATCACAAGAGCATGAGTATTTACCTGTGTGGCACCTTTTATGATAAATCAGCATGTGGTTCTGAGTGAATCTTGCACCACATTCATCACAGACAAAAGGTCTTTCCCCTGTATGAACTCTGAAAGTACAACATTCAGATGATAACTCAGGGTATATTTCAAAGGTCACTTTGCAATACAATTTCCAAATTCCTCTGTATTGTGCAAAAACCCATTTCCTCCAAGAGTGCTGGGGAAAACGACTAATGGGACAGATCAGGAGTTCAGCATACACCAGACAGTGGTGATATATGCCTTTAATCCTTGGGATTAAGCACTTTGGGAGGCAGAGGCAGGCAAAATCTCTGATTTTGAGGCCAACCTGGTCTACAGAGCAAGTTCTAGGATGGCCAGGGCAAGATGGAGAAACTTTGTCTCAGGGGAGGGGTTCACCATACATCCCAACACAAATGGAGTTTCTGTGCAAGACCCAACAGAGTGATATCTCCATTTAGTTCTACATACCAGAGTGGAACTTCCCACTAAGAGCTCCTACCTCTCTCCTGGGCTTTGGGCACTGGAAGCTGGAGACAGTGCCTTTGCACATTTTAGTACTAATGTATCACTTAGTATGTGAAAATCTTCCTCATTTGGAATAACCTCAGGAATTACTGTTGACAAAGTACCATGTGACCAAACATTTCACTGTCATCTCCTTAACATGACCAGTCAGTCTAAAGAGAAAATCTGCTCTTAAATTGCTGAGAATTACACAGGAATATTTTAGTTTTACAACCAGCATGATGTAGCAATCAGTCATGATCTGCTGAAAGCCTCCTACACAAGTACTTTGAACTCGGGCAGACTGAAAGATGACAACCACCATGTTCTCTCCTTACAGTCCTAGAGAGCAAAGGTAGACTACAGTAGAAGATTCAACTGTCTAGAAAGAGAACATACATACTAAGAACTACAACATAACACATGTCTTTGATACCAGTATTTGGGAGGGAGAAGCAGGCCCACCTCTGAAAATTCAAAGCAAGCACAGCCTACATTGCCAAGTTCCAGATCAACAGGGACTACACAGTGAGACACTGTCTAAGACGGTGGTTCTCAACCTTCCTAATGCTGCAAACCCTTTGTAATACAGTTCTTCATGTTGTGATGATCCCCAACCCTTATTTTTGCTGCTACTTCATAACTGTAATTTTGCTAGTAACGAATTATAATATAAATATCTGATAAGTAGGATGTCTGATATATGACCCCTGTGAAAGGGTCATTCAACCCCCAAAGGGGTCACAACTCACGGGTTGAGAACTGCATGGTGGTGTACACCTTTAATTGTGGCACTCAGGAGGCAGAGGCAGGTGGAGCTCTGTGAGTTCAAGGCCAGCCAGGTCTACAGAGTGAGTCCAGGATAGCCAGCCAGCGCTACAAAGAGAAACCCTTTCTCAAAAAAAAAAAAAAAAAAAAAATTAAAAAAGTAAAACAACAATTACAAAGAAAAAACTATAAGGAAACCTAAATATAAGAGCTCACTATCTGAGCCAGGTGGTGGTGGCTTACACCTTTAACCCCAGATCTCAGGAGGCAGCCAGGTCTCTGTGAGTTCAAGAGCAGTCTGTTCTACAGACGGAGTTCCAGGACTACACAAAGCTACACAGAGAAACCCTCTCTCAAAAAAATTAAAAATAATAATAATAAAAATAACAAAATAGCAACAATAAAAAGACAAAACCAAAAAATATTCACTGTCTACTTATAATCTGAAAACAATTAGAAAGCATCATTCAGAGGCTGGCCAGATGACTCAGTGACTAGGAACATTCGCTGCTCTTGCAGAGGACCAGCATTTGGTTCCCAGCACCCAGCTGTGACTCACAACCACTGGTTACTTCAGTTCCAGGGTGTCTGACATTTGCCTTCTGACCTCGAAGGGCAACAGGAATGGTACACATTAATACATTCAGGCAAAACATCATATACATAAAATGAATAGAGCTTTAAAAAAAAAATAGAAAGTGTTGCCTGATTCTTAGATCCTAATTTTTAGACCAACCAATAAATGGTACTTTCCAAGCCCTGAGGACAAAAAGAGCACTGGAGAAAAGTCCAACAGCACTACCTATCACCTCACAGAACCTCAATCAAACTGAGGGAAGAAAAAGCCCAGCTCTTGCTCAAGTACAGAGTACCATGAGACCTCAGGCCACCTAGAGGCCAGGCACAAAGCACCCAGAGTCCTGGATGGCTCTGCAGTGCCCTGATCTCTCTACATGGGAGGAAGGGCCAAAGGGTCTCTCTGAGAGGTTGAAGAGCCCTTTCCCTGACCCCCACCTCCAAAGAGGATTCAAAATTGCCTCAATTTCCCAAGTCTTAGATGGTACCAGTTGGGAAATGAAGCTCTATAGACAAAGATATGTTGGTCCAAGTCCTAAGGCCATGTGCAAATGCCCAGGGCACTTCAGCACTTGGGAATCCATGTCCCTGCATGCAGGCCAGCCCTGCTTCACATAGCAACTCTCCCAGGCAGCCGCACCTCATGTGGGTCTTGAGCGCCGAGGGCTGTGAGAACTTGGCGTCACACTTGGTGCAGCCGTAGGGCTTGTCGCCTGTGTGTGTGCGTTCGTGCAGCCTCAGGGCAGTCTTGGAGCTCAAGCCCTTGCCACACTGGTCACAGTGGTGCCGCTCGCCACCACCCTCATGCACTTGAAGCACATGCCGCTTCACGTCCTTCTTGCGCTTGAACTTCTTTGCACACATTTCGCAAGGGAAGTGGCGCTCACTGCTGTGCACATGGCGCTGGTGACTCTTCAGGTTGCAGCGGTTGGCGAAGGTCTGGCCACAGGTGTCACATCGGTACACCACCTCGGTGGCCACACCATGGTGGTACTTAACATGTTTCAGAAAACTCTTTTCATAGAGGAAGGACTTCTCACAGACTGTGCACTGGAAGTTATTCTTCTTCTTCTCCCCATCCTTCCCTTCTTCTTCCTCCTTCTCTCCATCCCTTTTCTGCATGCCTTCCTCCAGTTCCACACTAGCAGGGCAAGCCTCACTTTTGGAAGCTGGCTCTGTCTCCATCTTCTCATTGTCTGGGCTTTGGTCCTGGGGACACCTGTTATTCTCTGCAGCTTCCTCGGCACTTCTCTGCTGTTCTCGGAGCCTTCTTGTATATTTCTTTTTAGGGATTTCCACAAACACCTTCTTTCCTGCCAGCCTCCCACTAGCTCTTCTGATTTTAGGGTAGGGAGGCTTAGCCACATCTTTCTTCTTGTCCAGTTTCTCCTTGCACTTCTTGGATGGCATTTCTGGTGAGAGGCCATTGCCAAAGCTCTCTATTGGGTAGTCAAGGGACTCCACAAGGCCATTGGAGTGAGCATCCTCCTCTGGTACAGTTGCTTTGGAGCTGGGGGTCACACTCACCTGGGGGCCACTACTGGTCTCCACCTGCTGAGAATCAGAGAAATTCTGCAATTCCAAAAGAACAGACTCTAGCATCTGCTTCTTTAGCTGAAAGCATGTTTCAGACAGGTCCAAACACTTTAGCTTTTCAGCCACTTCTAGCATCCGCTGCACACGATCTTCTTCTACCTGTACCCTGGCAGTATAGACGAACTCCAGAAAGGAAGCAAAGTCAACAACATGAACTTCTTTTAAGCAGACATTAGTCCTGGTACCATCTGCGTTCTTCTCATTCAGGAACACTTCCTTAAAAAACTTGCTGGTGGCTGCCAACACTGCTTTATGGGCCATGAAGTCTTCACGGACACCCTGATACTCTACACTTACTGTAACGTCACACAGATGGCCCAAAAGTTGGAGCTCATGCATCTCATGCAGAAGGTTCAGTGGTGAAGATTTGGATTCCAGCAAAACTGTGCCACTTTCCATCTTCCTTCTAAAAACAGCTTTGAAAACAAAAGCAAGAATTGATTAGCTCACACATGAAAAATCCCTGAAGAAAAAGGACTTGAAATTATGAGGGTTACATTAGTTCTTGAGAAGAAAAATAGTAACTGACAAATCCAACTTTTCTCATTGAAAGATCTAAATCACAGCTAGATGTGGTAGCATGCATCTATAGCCCTGCAGAAACGGGAAGACCAGGAGTTCAAAATCAGTCTCAGCTACATGACAACTTTAAGGCCAGCCTGAATTATACTGTTTTGAACCCTATCTCAAAACAACAAAAGCAAATAAAACACAAAGACAAGGTAGGAGAGATGGTTCGGCAATTAAGGACAAAAACAGATCTTGCAGAGGACCGAAATTCAATTCCTAGCATTCAGACTTGATGACTCACAGCTGCCTCTAATTCCGGTTCCAGGGGATCTGACTTATCAGATACCTGCACTCACATGCACATACTCCAACAAAGACATATGCACATTACTAAAAACACAACGAATCTTTAAAGAACCGCACACACAGACACACAGAGTCAAATTACACTTCACCTCTTAGCAATTTCAAGAGTTCCAGAAAGGCTTTTGTGAGAAATATTCTCATAAAAACAAATGCAAGACTTCCATCCTCATTCACAATATCCTTAAACGCCTGGTACATTGTATTACTCTCCTGAAATAATTCAAGTTCCAGAGCTTTTACAGACTGTGCTACCTTGAACAGGTTAGAGCCTCTCTGAACATTCACTTCCTCCTCTTGGAAGGCCCAGTTTTCCTGAGACTTTATGAAGAAAAATGTAGCATACCTTTCCAGTTGGCCTGACATTTGCTGGCTCATGGTGGGCTTCCTACACAACCTATCAAGGTACTTCTGGACCTCTCCCCTTACAGGTGACAAGTTAGTAAGATAATTGGTTACCTGGGAGTCTTGAACCTGAACCTTGTGGTCCTGTCTAGGTTCAACTATAGTTTCTCAACACACCCCTCACCCCAGCCTCACCAAACTTAAGATGTTTCCCCTGCAGTTGCCATGTTCCCCAAGATTCCCCTCCAGGACTCTAAAATGCTAGTCCAACTTCCTGTCTTCTGCTCGGTGGACATTTCTCAGAGTCCTCTGTTGCTGAATCTAACTTCCCTTCCCAGGTTCACTTTGGTTTCCGAGTCTCCACCATCGAGAGCACTCCCTGATCTCCTTCATCAGAGCCTAGACATCACCTTGGAGTCCATGGGTCTGCCAGGACTTGGCATTTTCTCTCCATTTCATTCAAGAAACCACTACCCACAATCCCCAGTCTCAAACACAGAAAATAGTCTCCTAGGGAGTACAATTGTAATTCAGCACCTGTGGAATGCCTGAAGGGGACTCTATAGGAAACATAGGAAACACTACCTACCGACCAAGGAAGATTAAACAAAAGAAATAACTGGGTTAAGCGCGACAAGCGGCAGTATTGCAGAGCCAACGCTCTTCGGAATCCCCATCCCAGCCTAAGGACAAAGACTGCAGACCCCTCTTTACCTGATGCCCATATGGCCAGCCTTACTTCCTAACATCTCCCCCTGGCCCCTCAAGATAACTCGGGAGTCCTACCAGGAGACCTGGCAGACTTCTCCACCAACCAAGAAGGCCCTGAGCAGATTTCCCCGATTACCTCCCATGGGAGCAGACACCGGTCAGGCGAGAGGCTATTTGTGGCCCGGTGTCAGCTGTGTTCCACTGTCATTGGCATTTGGTTGCCTCTGGGTGAGCCGAGCATCCTCACCAAGGTCGCTAAGTAGCCCAGGGGTTCGGACTCGTAGGCCAGGCCTCCAGGAGTCACTGCTCTTTGCAGCCTGCCCACCCTACGGGGATCCTGGTTCTTAAAGCCCTGGTGGCTGTGGCCTCTCTGACTGCACCACGTCCGCCTCCACCACAGCCACACGGAGTCCAGGACCACCAAGGTTCCTCCAAAGCCACAGGGAGAACGAACTCTTGCAGCCAGGGCAGGGTCCGGCCTCCAGAGTCAAAAGGGTCTAGCCATCCCCTCTCGGCCGGGGTCCTTGCCTGCCCCTAGCCCTGTGCCTACTTCCCCGCAGATCGCCGCTCCTAGGGACAGCAGGCAGAGGACAGCCTGGAAGACAAACTAGTCAGCAGCACACTCACCTCGCAGCCTGTGCTTCCGCGGGACCCGTATCCTGGTCCAGGCCCGCAGGAACAGCTGGCTGCAGGGTCCGCGGATTGGTCGCCACGAGCGCGCCCCGCCCCCTGACGGGCCCTGCCCCCTCAAGCAAGGAAGGCGCTGCACGCTCACGTCCAGCTGCAGAGGCGGTTCCGGCCGTTGCGTTGCGTGTCTTACGTGAGCTCGGGCAGGGCGATTGGCTAGCAGTTCCGGGATCTGTCACCGTCGTCAAGCCTAGGCCGCGCCTGCGCAGAAAACAGCAACGGGTGTTGGGGGCGGGGCTGGTTGTTGGAGTTGGGGCAACATCCAGCCAAGCGGGTGCCTTCTTGTCCTCAGCCTGTCGCTAGCTTGCTGAAGCAGAGCATCCAGGCCCTCCTGTGTGCCGTGTGGGCAAAGTCTTGGTGTAGGGCTGAGGCCGTGCTCGCTGTGGCCGAGTGGGAAGGCTGGCGCAGCCTTGTCGTCTTTGAATGCTTCTGCTCTAAATCCCGCCCTTGTTCTGAAATAAAACCTGGTCATTTGAACGCACCGCCTTAGACTTCCAGTTACCGGTAAATGTTGACCGTGCTTCATGCGTTCACCCACTGCTAAAGCTTTACGAAGAGGAAACCAGTGGCCTCCCTATTGCCACCAGCAAGCAAGACCTCTTTCTGCCTCGGAGAATAGGTCTCTGGTCACTCTCCTTTCTTTGAGCATTTAGTTCAGTGAGATAAGCTTTCTCCTGTCTTTGAAGACCCTGTCTAGGCTGTGGAAGCTGTCTATTTGAACTAGAAATGCCCACTGAGATTGACAGCTCCTTCGGCGTCGCAAATGCCTGGCTCTTAGTTTAAACTAGCTCCTGCTGCAAAGAGGCAAATCTAGTCCTTTGAATTAAGCCAATTACCTGAAATAAAAGTTGAATTAGAAAGTGAAGTTAGTTTAAACTATGTATGACTTTAATATATAATGAACATTATATCTTGAAATATATCTTTATATGTATATGTGTTATAAGCCATAACTTTTTTGCTACACAGAAGAATGAAATTTTGTTTTGTGTGACTTAGATACCATTTTGTGTGACTTAGAATAATGTAATGCTTGCAAGATATGTTAAGGCGCCAAATACAAGGCAGCACCTGTGAGCTACGCAGGCTTTGATATGTTAATAAACCAACCCTAAACTGTGAGCCCCTTAATCTTTATAACAGCGTGGTATTATGGAGAATGTTAGTGTGAATAAAGTGAGCATATTCAAAAGGTAACTTTTCTATGTGGAAGAAAATGAGGCAGAAAAGCGTTCATACTCTAGCTCAGCTGCTTTATTGGAACAGTGAGGGGGGCAACCTTTCTGTGGGATAAAAGTTTGAGTGCATTTAGAGGGACTAGTGGACAGGTATATATACTTACACACTTATGTGGGCAGCTACCAGGAAATTCTCTCTCTCTCTCTGTCTCTGTATGTGTGTTTTGATACACAGGTGTATTGTTTCTGCACATGGAGCTGAAAGATCAGGAAGGAGCCAAACAATTCTTTATGGCTAGTGGCCCATCTCAGTATAGCCCATCTCAATTTCTCTCATCTGAGAAATTACCCAACAGTATGTACATCCTAATTGCCAAGTACCTGTAAGTGTTGCAGCTCTGAAGGGAAAGACTTGTGCTTCGGCAGGATCAAACACAAGCAGTGAAGGGAAAAAGCAAAGATGTCGTGCGCACAAACTCTTCCTACCAGTCAGTCATTCTGAAGAAGTAAACTATGTGTTCACTTCAAGGCGTTTGTTTTGGGGTAACCTTGGGAACATTTCATGCACTCCTTAATAGGTGACTAGCAGGGTAGATAACTACCGCGGGTCACCTTCTGGAACGCCCAACAAGCCGGACCACGTCCTCCAGTTCGTGTTGGTTGGTGTAGCCAATTTGCGCAGCGCTCTCCTCTTCCCACAAGGAGACTCAGGCAGCGGATGGGTTCCAGGTCACGTGGCATGGCGCTGTGTTTCGCCAGAGTCGCTTGCAATTGGTTCTGGGTGGTCGCGGACTGATGACGTTACACCCTCAGTCCTAAAGGTAGGGCGCAATGGTGGGCCTATCAGGGTTAGAAGTGAGACGCTGTGGTGGGCCTCTGATGTCTTGTGACATTCCCACCAAGCTGCGTAGCCCTCTCTAGCACTCGGCCGCACTGGAGGCTCCACGCGGCACGGAGGGAGAGCAGGGCGGGCGTGGGTATTGAGGGAGGAACCGCGCAGCGCCGCCTGGGGTGACTTTCCCGATGTGCGTTTCCCAGGCTTCAAAATCCTGCCAGTGAAGTTACTTTCCAGTGCGTTAATTATGGGTCAGTTCAAGAGCTGAGTTTTAATAGGCCACAAGTCTTCACTTGCTTTACATTTGGGCAGTCACTCAACCCCCCAATGCACCCCCACCTCCACTCCCCTGTACACACTCCGTTCTTAAGCTATTATCACAAGTGCATTTGTTAATCACAAAAAATTAAGGTGAGGTGAATGTGTTTTTGTAAACCTATTTCCATTTCTACGTTGAAATGTTCTCGCAGATTGCAAAACCCAAACATTCATCTCTGGCTCTTTAAACACACTGGAGGACTCGTTTTTTAAAATTACATTGGAAGATGATCACACGTTGGGAAGATCAGAGGACAACTTTCCTTTTCAGGTTGTTGGTTCATGTGTTGGTTGCGGTAATTGAACATTAAAATCCTAGAAGCCAACAGCTGTCTTTAACTTTGGATCTGTTTCTAGAATTTTCATCTTAATTTCATATTAAATTCACAAATCAATTACCTTGTCAGTAATAAGCGGAACATCTTATAATAAGCAACACACCTTGAGTGGTTCTTAAGATGTCTGTACTGTTTGACTCATTATCTACAAAGTGTTTGTGCTTTTCTGATTGCCAAACTCAAATATTTCATTTGAATCATATCACATATAAAGTCTTTTCTTTATTCATAAGGCTGCACAATAATCCCCCGTGGTGGCAGGCAACATTACAAATTTAAAAATGTATCAGTGAACATTTAGAATCCTCACTATTTTCATATCACAAAGGATGCTTGAGATAACTTTTAATAGCCAGGTGTGGTGGCACAGGCTAATCTCAGCACTTTCAGTGGGAGAACTTTTTTAAAAGACTGACAATAAACAAGAGGAAGGAAATCACAAAGAGCAGAAGGCAACTAAACTGAAAACAGAAAAATCAATGCCACACGGTGTTTATTTGAAAACTCTTTAAAATTGGTAATTCCCTATGAGAAGACAAACATTACTGATGACAGGAAGACAGGTTTCTAATACCAGTACCGTGGGAGCAATTGCATGTGCTAGTCATGGGACTGGGCAGAGTCAGAAGGAACATGTGAGCCTAAGCATTCCAGAACAGCCTGGGCAAAGTTGTAAGACCCCATCTCAGAAGCATCACTTGCTGTACTTACTGTTTGTGTTCACTGTATGTCCTGTGATCAGCCATAACATGACCTCACTGGTCAAGGTCTTGTGTTTGCTCACAAATCTTAGTGAGCTGTGGATGCTGGAGCCTGCCTCACAAGCACTAGGAATTAAGTTGACCAGATGAGTCCTGGGCAGTAGGATTTTTCCCCAGACTCCATGCCCTGTACCATCCTGGTTGCCCCAGAATAGCCAGACCTATACTACTAGCTTTCTTCTGCCCAAAGTCCACCAGAAAATGATTGGCAGCAAGTGGGAAGATGCCATAGCCTATGGATCAGGATCAAGCTTACCCACTTGTAACAAAAATTAATTTTACTGTATGGGTATTTTGCCTTTGTGTATGCCTGTGCCCCGTTGTGGGCCTGGTGGTCATGGAGACTAGAGAGGGCATCAGATCTCCTGGAACTAGAGTTACAAACAGCTGTGAACCACCATGTGGCTGCTAGGACCTGAACTTGAGTTCTATGGAAAAGCAGCAAGTGCTCTTACCAGCTGAGCCAGACCCTAACCCTGTCCACTCTGGTCCCTACGGTCCAGCCCTACAGTGCCAATCCTAAAGCATTTCTCACAGTTCCTTCTGGGAACAGTAATTCCATCTGAGTAGGGCATAGGCCTTGGGGAGGCAGAATGCAGACAGATGTCCCTAGAACCTTGGTAGCTTGAAAATGAGTCCAGTTTTCTATCCTTAATATATCTCCATCACTGCTGAGAGTAAAGAACTTTGCAAAAAATGTTACCCTCACTGTTAAAAGTACAAACTGGTTTCACACCTTGCCAACAAGGCAGCACCAAAAATATAAAGCATCTTGTCTTTGTTAAAGCAAAATACAGGTTATGGTAGAACTGAGATTTAATTTGGCACTCTAGCAGAGGACCTGAAATACACTACAAATGAGGATTTGTGCTTGAAGCAAACTTTGCCTTTATTGTTCTGCAACAAAATGTGGAGGTCACAGAGCCAAAAGTCACCTCCTTTCTCACTGAGCACTTTCTTCCAGGTCCCTGGGTATGCTGGGTCCATCAGCAGATAGCCTAGTGGTGACAGCAGGGTGATTGCCTTTGGTTTATGTGTGGATTACATTCTGGTGGGTCAGGGGTGGGCAGGGAGGGCAAAGGGAAGATGGGTTGATGTGTAGGGAACCCTGACAGGGCAGGGTGTAAGGAACAAGAACCTGGGGTGGGGGGTGAAGGGAGATTAGAGGACTCTAGCAGAAGAGAACTGAGAACCAAACTTGTCTTTGAGATCCAAGTTAATTCAGATTCAAACATTACGAGAGTGCCAGGAAATCAGGAACCTTGAGAATACAGTCTGTTCCAAGCTTGGTCAACATCATTCTGTTCTTGCTATTTTGGACAGTTTAGGGTAGAGTTGAAAGAACTTAATTCTCCGACTCCAGGGCCTTTGTATCAAGGTCACCCTTGGGTGAGTCTGTGGTATTTAATGCTCAGCAGCACATCTCCTCCACTCTTTTTCCCTGTGACTTCCTAAGGGACCATGTTTAGTGTTCCAGGATTTTAGTCAACTCAGCATGGTGGAAACCTCACTTTACTATTTCATAAATTTTAGTAACATCTGCTTGTTCTTCGAGTCTCATCTTGCCAGCAAGTCTTGTAGGACTGGTTTGACTGCTCTAGATATGGCTTTGGAGCTGTTATTTTATGGATATGATAGGGCAAAGCATAGGTGATATAACCATAGGTGAACTAGGGATACCCTGCCAGTTGTGGTCATCAGAGACCCAGATGACCCCACCTCTAGGGCACAGCCATATTGTCTTGTGGTCCAGGATGAAGCCATGATCACTGAGTAGCCAGAGAGGAAGTGGGGGTTTACTGAAGCGAAATTCCCCATTTCATTCATCTTCTGCTTCACTGGCCAGAATCTAATCACATGTCAAATCTAGAGATAACTCAGACTGAAAGTTTTAGATGGGTCCTTTATAGTTACAGTTCCCTCCCAATCTTGGTGCTTCTGGTAGGAGGTAGACAGCTATCTCTTCACATATATCTTCAATAACTCTCATCTCAGGCACCAAGGGCAAAGCCAACTGTCAGTGAATCACACATATATATCACAGGTATATCACAGACACATATATCACACATTTGAAAAATAAAATGCCAATGGTGGTAGAGGTGCTGGCTAGGGACATGGCCCAGGATAGGTAAAACTCCCTATGTTTCGAGGATTCTACTGTGGACAGGTCTGCCACCCACAACTCTGAATCCCTGGAGTTCATCCCAGACTGTCCCACCTCGATAGGTGCTTCCTACCTTGTTTTCTGCCTTTCATATTCCTCTGTACTTCTCAAGATTTTGACACATCAGGCAGAGAAACGACATTTATATTATTTATTTGTCAATTTGAAGAAACAGGGTCTCTACTGAATAAGTAGAAAAATAGAAAGTTTACTACTTTTAAAAGGCAACTATGACAAACCAGTATATAACCAGAAAAGGGTTTCTAGGAGTCAAACATCCAGTTTGCAGTACTCCTGTGACAACAAAAATGAACTTGTGTTCTCCACATCCTGAGATTTGAGACTGGCATTTCTCCAGAGCTGGGCTGAAGCCAAGAAGCCTTTCTCACCCCCACTAGCTGGCCCAGTCCTGGAACCGGAAGCAGTCACTTGCTATCTTCCATACTGTATTACTGGGTGAGGCCTGAGCGGTCAAGATGAAGTTCTGGTTGAAGTCCCGCTGTTTGTTGCCCTCAAACTTCACTGTTCCACAGATCACCACAAGGACTGTGGTCTGGCTTGGTGTAGCTTCATCATGGACAGGCTGGCAGTCTACCACATTGATTTGGAACTCACTGGAAGGCAACATCTCAAAAAACTCACTCAAGGATTCTTGTCCAGAAACAGCATTTCCATTCCATACTAAAGTGGCTGTGCCCATGTACAGGCGGGAAAGCAGTCGCCGCCGCTTATCCATCGTGGTGTAGTAGACGTTGACAAACTCCTCCGCAGCTCTGCAGGCCTGGTCCACATAGGTCTTGAAATCTACAGATGCCATCTCTGGTTCTGCTGCCAGAGGCCTCTGCCAGAGTGCCTCCTCTGTAGGGATCCAGGGACTGTAGGACAGCAAAGGTGGGCACATGTGAATATCAAGGTCTGTTCTGCCCTGACAAAAAAATTTCCAGTTTTATTTGTGTCCATCTGGCTTGGTATGTGCCATGGCTCATTGGAGATCAGAGTCTAACAGGCAAGAGTCCTCTCTGCCTACCATGTGGGACCTATGAATCAAACTCAGGTCAAAGCACCTTTACCTATTGACTCATCTAGCTCCCAACCTTCCTTTTCCATAGGTGACAGGGCATTTGTATACTGCAGGCAGAGGACTTCAGGCTCAAACTGCTGCCTATTTAAAGGAAGGACTGTGTAGTCCTGGCTAGCCTGGAACTGAGAGATCCAACTGCCCCTCTGTCTCAAGTGCTGGGATCAAAGATGTTCAGCCCAGCAATTGTTGCCTATCTAATCGTACTACTTCTCAGTTTCCTTGTCAAAAAAATAGGAACACAAAAATTAAACTAGACGGTGCACTCCAGCACTGGGTTAAGAAATTTAAGTCAGGAATGGTGGGACACATACTAAAGAAGCTGAGGCAGGAATTCTAGGCCAGTCTGTGGTTAAAAAAAAAAAAAGTGTAATCTGTTCACTTTATAATGGGTTTTAAGATCCATTTTATTATTATCAGAGTACACTTGATAACAAGCCTGCGCTTTCCTGAAAGCTTGGAACAGGTGTGACTGCCCCTAGGCAACAGGTGTGGCTCCTCCTAGTAAAAACAGTGGCTCAAGCTGAAGAAATGAGTGGTTACTGGCCCAACAAAGGCTACCAGAGGGCGAGCAGGTGCCCATCTGGGAAAAGACTACAATGAACTAGCCCAACAAGGACTCAGGAGATACAAGGAGTGGCAGGTTTCTCAAGAGAGTGGAGGACAGTGGTCACATTTCTGGAAACCCCAAGCCAGGTGTGGTGGTGCATGCCTTTAATCCGAGCTGGCAGAGGCAGGTAGATCACTGTGAGTTTGAGTCCAGTCTGGTCTACAAAGTGAGTCCGGCCAGCCAAGGCAACACAAAGAAACCCTGTCTGGGGGAAAACAAAACAAAACAAAACACTAACTAGAATTTCTATCTTCAGCACTAATGCCTACCATTTAAGAACAGAGGGGCCATACCACAGCAGGAAGACCCTAGAATTCAAACATTCTCAGGAGAAAGGGTGGACAATTTTATTTGTACTTGAAAGATCACAGTTTCCTAAAAATATTGAAGTTCCAACACATACACAGCATGTTTTTATTTCTGTAAAAGGTATGGCTGCTTATTTCTTCTATGATTAAAGTTTTCCATTAAAAGTAACTCACCAATGCTACTGAAAATACTGGACACAAGTGTAATTTTTATTATCTGCCAATTTCCAGAAACAGGGTCTCTACAGAGTAAGCTTAAAATTTTAAGTAGTGAATATATTTTTTTCGTATCAAGTGCCTTTATTTTATTTTATTGAGACAGGGTCTCTTTCTGTATACTTCTGGGACTTGCTATGTAGACCATTTTGGTCTCAGAGACCCGCATGTGCAACACCATGCCTGGACCAACATTTTTTTTTTTTTTTTTTTATCAGCTTTTCGACTACAATTCCACAGAGCTCGGAGGAAGCTGGTCCTGTAGATGAGCAGTTCAGAGCCAGCTTGATATTGCTCTTCCCACTGTCTCCAAGGACCTCAGACTCAAAGATCAATATAAAGTGATATATGCTTAGTAGTTTAGATATATTGCCTCAATCATCATTGCACCAATCACTGTAACAACTTTACTAAAAGAGACGCTTGCACACTCCTTGTTGCTTCATTCCAGGAAAGCCAGGGAGTCAGGGCCATGTTGTCCTCTTTACTAAGTTCCTGGACTTTTGAAAGCAGGTCTGTATGAAAACGGCTCTAGGGATGCTTGCTCAGGAACGTTCTACCAGGTAACCACATTTCTTTCCACCTCATCTGCACGATGCCACTTCCTTTAGGCCACGATGCTCTGGGTTGTCATTTTCTCCAAACACAATCTAATATTGGTCACGCCCCCTCCAAGATGATCACTCTCTAAGTCTGGTCCTCAGCTACCCACAGAAGCTGCTCATCTCTCTCCCATCAGGAGAAAACAGTAAAACCGAAAAACAGTGTGAGAGGCCTGGAGGCCACTCATGGTTCATTCTGTAGCTTCCTGGAGCTGGACCCCAGAGGCGGTAGCCGTGCCGCGGGCCTCACTTCCAGCCGGGTGTCGCTTCTTACCAAGCTGCTGGCAGATGGCAGCCCGCCCTTCGGAGCCATCCCCGGTCCCCAGTCTGTTGCTGCTCCTCCAGGTAGGGCAAACTCACCGCCACCGTTTTGCACATTAAAGAAAAAAGCCTAATGCCGAGAAAGCACAGCACGTGGGGGAAAGGACAACACCCAGGTCTTAGAAAGCCTAACCGGAGGGGTCCCTGGTCCCGCGGCGTTGCCCAACGGCCACCGCACAGCCAGGCAGGAGCGGCCGCCTACCTGCTCGGTCCCGGTCAGCGCCGCCAAGGCGACTCGGCCCCGGGTCCCGGCCCGGCCGCGGTCCCGGGCCAGAAGAGTTACGCTCCTGCCCTCCTCTTCCTCGCAGAGGCTCCGCCTGAGGCTCCGACGTTCAGGAGGCGGGGAACGGTTAGGCGCCGGTAGCGCCTTCCCGCGCGCGGCGTGCTGCGCTCTGCGCACGCGCAGGCGTCCCCGCTCCCGCCGGTTCCCGCCTCCCCGTGACGGACAGCTCAGCGAGTCAGTGGAAAGGCTGGCTCCGCCCAGGTGTGGCTGCGGGGGCCGGTGCGGCTTCCGGGGCAGGCCTCGGCCTAGAAGATCCGGTTGCGGGAGCTCTGGTTGGAGGGCATGGAGGGGGTGGAGCACAGCTGTGGCAGGCTCGGTTGTTGGAAAGAGTGCGTCTCGGAGCGGACCTGGTTCCTTCCCTCTGTGTTGGGTTGCTCTCCTTGTGGAGGCTCGTGACAGCAGCAGGGCTTCAGGAAGGCTCTGGATTGAGCCCAGCAGATAGGACGCCTCGGTGGAAAGCTGAGTCTGTGGCTGAGCGCGCCCTTTCTTAGGTGAAGCTGCTTAGAGTTGACACTGCTGATGGGCTTATAAGAGAGAACCAATTTTAGTCTGGTGAGAAGAATTGAGGTCGAAGATGAGGGCGAGGTAGCAAACAGTGGCAGTTGACTTTCTGTGCCCTGCAAGTTGAGGTCCCCGCTGGATCCAGCTGTGTCTCGTTGTTCCACTTAAGGTGCCGCATTTTGGTTAATCTGCAACAGTCTAAATACTTAGCGTTAGAATGGAACCATTTTGTGTGGGAACTTGGAAAACTTCCGAGTATAATGAAACCTTAAAAGCTAATTTTCGCGAAACACGATTCTGTGCTTCCTCTGCCCTGCTAGGAGAGTTCTCTGGAAGTGGCTAGGTTAAATGAAGTACTTCAGTCTGTATTTTGTTGGCTAACTCTTGGCTCCTTTTGCTCATGTTTCCAAGGGAACCGTTGCTTTTAGAGTTAAGAAACTAGGCAGCCTACTTACTATAGGTCATTCCCCACTTCAGTCAAGTAGATGAAAAGTTTGCACTATTGAAAGAAGTAAATTGGAGGCTGAGTTTCTTAGGATGAATAAGTGTCTTTGGAGCAGTAGTTACACAAAAAATGGCTTCGTAGACCTGGAGATAGGGCGTAATAGGTCCTAGGAATCTGCTCGAGAGATAACTTGACTTTTTATTCTTTCTGTAGCCCTTGAGTTTGGGGAGATTAGAGATAACCCCAACTCCAAGGGACATACCACTAACATTTGAAGTAAAATTAGTCAAGGCCCTCTCTTTCTCTGTCCCTTCTATCTCTGTTTCTCTGTCTGGCTCTCTCTTCTCACACGTAGGCTTTAATGTCATTGATGGAATGGACTTTCTTGCAATGGTGACAGCAAGCAGACAAAGAGAAAGAGCTTCCTTCTTCCCTGCTTTTTGTTTGTTTTGTTTTTTGAGACAGGATTTCTCTGTGGAACAGCCCTGGCTGTCTTGGACTTGCTTAGTAGACCAGACTGGCCTTGTATACCAGATCCGCTTGTTTCTGCTTGCCAGAGTGCTGGAATTAAAGGTGTGTGTGCCACTGCACCCGATTTCTTTCATGTTTTCTATATAGGCTGATATTTATCAGAAGGTGTGGTCCAGAATAAAGGTGGCTCTTCTCACCTTATTTCTTCCCACTTCAAATGATTTCATTAAGAAAAAAAAGTCCTTCACAGGAGAGCCCAGTCGTTCGGGTATTAGTTAATTCCAGATGTAGTCAAGGTGACAACCAAGAATAGCCATCACAGGGTGTTAGGGTACCCAGTTACTACTATTAGACTGGAAAAGGAGTTTGATCAGGCATTCTTAGAAAGGAACATTTTATCGTTGAATATGAGAATGGACAGCAGTGTTTTAGTCTTCTTACTCCCCTGAGGGGAAACTGACTCCTCAGTGATGAGGCAAACTGGAAAGGTGGGAAGAAGTGAGCCCTTTCTTGAATGTTTGGACTATCATCTTCAGTGTGTGTGTGTGAAAGAGAGGTGGTGGTGGTGATGGTTTAACCCACAGCCTCAACATGCTAAGCAAATTCTTTGCCACTGTACTACATCTCAGCCCCAGTCTTCAGTTTTGGACTTTACAGTTTCTAGAGTGAGTGTAGAAAGCTGGGCTCATGTGTAGTTACTTCACCTTCAGCATTGTGTCCTTGCATATCAACAGTGTGATTGTGACATGTAAGTTTGCTTATCTAGTGTACCTCTGTAAAGCAGGTACACTAATTATATTCTTGGGAGGGGCTTCACATGGGTTGAGTACAAATTAGCATCCAAAAAACATTAATAGGACCAAATTATGTTTTATATTTTATGTCAATAGCAACTTCTTCATTCATCAACAGTCCTTTTAATGAAATGATTGGCTTTTACCTTAGGGACAAGCATATGACAAATTGATGGGATTTGCTACCCATTACATGGGCACTTTTGGTAAATGAGTCTGGTTTAAGCAGCTGTGGAGCCAGTGTTCCCATTTGCCACATGGAGCCTGTCCGGGAAGAAGGACACATCTGGGCCACACACAGAGTTGGACCTGACTTACAGATCTTAAAATCTGTCAACACAGGCTTGCTCTCCTACCCCACTGTCAGTTCTATTCCCTGGAACAGAATCTGAACAGCATGTTTTCAAAAGCAGTTATGTGACTTGAAATCAGTGGATTCACAGCAGTGTCTGGGCAGCTGTGTATCGATTACTTTGCTACCTGAACCACATTTGTTTTTTTCTGTCTCTTGACCTTGGCAGGCCACCATCTGAATTCTGGTGGACCAAGGCTATATTTCTGTGAGCTCATTTAGGGATTGGACTGTGGGGGGACATAGAAGAAGTACACTCATTAAAGCCAGGCAGTGTTGTATCAAGTCCATCCTCTGTCTTCTCTTCTGCCAAGAAAAAGAATGTAGACAGGTGGGATGCTGCTTCTGTAGATATTACACAGAAGTGCTCCCAGTAATGGTACTGTTTGCCTGAGACAGCTGTTATTGACTGTTATTGACTAAATCTCAGGTGCACCTTTTTCTATCTCTGCTACCAGCAACCTGAAATGGTGAGGCAGGTCACACATGGCCATAGAGCCTTTGTGTGTGGTCAAAATGGAACATCTAAATCAGTAGTTTCAAAGTAAAAGAAATCAATCAAATAATATAAGCGGACAGGTCTTTATGGGAAGGCTGCTAGGAGAGACAACAGCAGTCAATGGGAAGGTGATTCCTGGAAACAAGAAGAACTGGACAGCAATTGCTTAAAGAGCTGTTTAGCTTTTTTTTTTTTTTTTTTTTTTTTTTTTTTTTTTTTTTCTGCTTGACATGAGTAGGGTCCAGGCTCAACAGAGAAAATGCCTCCATAAGATTGTTCTCTAGAGGTCAAGAGAGAAGACTTAGTGATTCAGAGTACTTGAAGACCTGCGTTTGAGAGGCTCACAACTACCTGTAATTGCAGTTCCAGGAGATCTGATGTCCTCTTCTGTGCACCAGGAACAAAGTCTTACATAGACACACATGCAGGCAAAATATTCACACACATTAAATGAAATAAAATAGAATTTAAAATTAAAGAAATATATTGGCATGTAGGCAAGTCTGGGAACATTTTCTTGATGATTAACATGGGAGGGCCTAGCCCAGCATGGTTAGCGTTACTCCTGGGCAAGTGGTCCTGAGTAAGAGCAAGCTGAGCAAGCCGTGAGGAACAATCCAGTAAGTGTGTTTCCATGGTCTCTGCTTCAGTTCCTGCCTACAGGTTTGTTTTATAATTCCTGTCTTGACTTCCCTTTATGATGGACAATGAACTGTAATATGAAACAAATTTTTCCCTGCCTTCCTTTTGGTCATGGTGTTTGTAGAGAGTTGCTTGTTTGTCAAGCTGCTTTGTTATTCATGTTTTCACCCTGACCTTCACCTTAAGACAGAGAAAAGAAGTTTCACGAAGTTCCTTAAAACTTATTCCAAGTTCCTTAAAGCTTGTCTTTGTGACCTTGGACCCTGTCTGCTATAGAGAAGTAGTTTTAGAACAGAAGTTTGGTGGTTCCACGAACTTTTCTTTTTGTATTGATGTGACTTGTTTTTGCTTTGCCTATAAAAAATGAATTGTGGAATAAACCCATGCTGCAGTCTTACTGACAGCCCTCTCGAGCCAATCCCGTGTGTAGTGTGACTTGTTTTAATTATTTTAATCCTCACTCTCCACTCAGGTACTGTTCATTCCTGGCGGTGGGCTCTGGCAGGTGTTTATCACAGCACTAAAAAGCAAACTAGCTGCAATGGGATAATGGATCCGTGAGCAGTTTCTAGCTTCTGGGATTCACTGCTCAAATTAGATTCCTGAGAAAAGGAGTTTGATTAACCCAACTCCAGCCACGTGCCATTCACCTGCTATACAATCCCACCAAAACCACTTGAGAGAGCAAATCTTTCAGAAATACATAGAGGAGCTATCCACAAATGAAAGAGAAAGGAATTTGCGGAAGGCCAAAAGATCTGAGGCCAATAAGCTTAGAATGAAGGTGTGGCTGTGAGCACAAATATGAGCAGAGGTAAAGACCAATTGATCATTGAGAAAGGAGGACTGGAATAAGATGTCTTCCCACTCACATATACAGAGGACTGGAAAAAGATGTCTGTGCACTATAGCACATACTCAGATGCATGGTTACATATATGTGTAACATACACAATGGCATCATTTGTATTATGTACATGCACACATACACATTGCAGTCCCAACGATTCCTCATTCCTTATTGTGACATATTGTACTTCCAAAATTGGTCAAGAACATCTTTTCAGTTATGCCCACTCTTCAAGAACCTTGCTTTGTGCTGCTCAGGATGTTCTGGGTCTTTTCTCCAAAGTATACAGATAAAGATAAAGATAAAAGTAAAGTATCTTTATAAAGTATAAAGATTTATTTACTTTCATTTTATGTGTCAGTGTTTTGCTTGCATGTATGTCTGTGTATCCTGTGCATGTAGTGCCTATGGAAGCCAGACAAGGATAGCAGAATCACCAAAACTGGGATTAGGGATGGTTGTGAGCTAATATGTGGGTGCTAGAGTCAAACCTAGGTTCTTTGGAAGAATAGCAAGTGCTCTTAACTGCTGAGCCTTTCATCTCTCCAGTCCCTCTAATGCATAACT